ATAGCAATGGCCTCCAACCTAGTAGCGATGTCCTCCAACCTAATAGCCATGGCCTCCAACCTAATAGCGATGGCGGCCTCCAACCTAGTACCGATGGCCTTCAACCTAATAGCCATGGCCTCCAACCTAGTAGCGATGGCCTCCAACCTAGTAGCGATGGCCTCCAACCCAGTAGCGATGGCCTCCAACCTAGTAGCGATGGCCTCCAACCTAGTAGCGATGGCCTGCAACCTAATAGCCTTGGCCTCCAACCTAGTAGCGATGTCCTCCAACCTAATAGCAATGGCCTCCATCCTAGTAGCGATATCCTCGAACCTAATAGCAATGGCTTCCAACCTAATAGCCGTAATAGCGATGGCCTCCAACCTAGTAACTTAGTAGCGATAGCCTCCAACCTAGTAGCGATGGCCTCCAACGTAGCAGCGATGGCCTCCAACCTAATAGCAATGGCCTCCAACCTAGTAGCGGATGGCCTCCAACCTAATAGCCATGGCCTGCAACTTGATAGCGATGGCCTGCTAGAGATGGCCTCCAACCTGCTACAGAAGGCCTCCAACCTAATAGGGCCTCAACCTAGTAGCTTCTTGTTCCTACGAAGAGCAGATCGGAGCTGAGGTCATCCAGCAATTCAAGATCGAGTGGGGCTCACCGTTTTCCGACATTTTGGCGGCCATGGAACTCCTAGCCTTTGACCTGGACTGCACAACACAATTTCTGTATTGTTCAGCCTTGTGATGCAAGAACTGGTTAGGAGATGATGACACAGAAAGAAAGATGAACAGAGAGAGCACATGAAGAGATGATGAACTTCAGCCAGAGCATATTAGACTTCCAGCTTTTACAGCTGCAGGATATGGTTTCCATCAGCTGCGTAGCACCTATGAGCCCTGTCGCAAAATTTACCACACGAACCTTGCTGGTCACTGAGCTCAACCAGAAATGAAATCATGAAATCAGGTCACACCATCTCAATTCCCAGGCTAAGCGCGACATGTTTAAAGGATTTCAACGGTTTGTTGAACTTGTTAAAGATTGGCAGACGAGTTTTACGCATGGGAAGTTTGACTTTGCATGTGTAGCTTGTGCCACGTAGGTGCTCCTTTTCTTCGCCATGGCTGGGCTAGTGCATGTGGGATACCTGGCGTACAAGCGCGCCAAGACGCTACAACTTGGCCTTCTCGGGAGAACAGTTGGCAACTTTGCATCACTGCGGACAGCACTGCGGGCAGTGCGAGTCCTTTTGAAAAGAAAAGACAATTAAAACATCGTTGTTTTCTTTTTAATGTATAATTACATGTCACCTTTTATGCGTCCGACTTTCTGCAAACCCTGACATTTGATCACCTTTCCAACCAGCTTGGCACTAGAAAGCGTGTCGAGAAGTCATCAGTTCTGAAACATGATTTGTATCTCCAAGGCACGCTCTTTATGGTCTTCTTCATCTCTCTATGTTCTTCTTTACTGGCACCGTTCCGCTGCAACATGCATCCAAATGGCCGTTGGACTGTCCAAACGTACCACCAGGTGGGTCCATACTCGCTTCTTTTCAAGCCGACGCGGCTTTTTGGTCCGAACATGCAATGGTCCAGGTCTTTTGCAACGGACAAGATGAGCATTTAGCCATGGTTCTAGTCGGGACTGCTGCTTGTCCCTTGGTGATATTTGGATGGCCTTTTCCAGGAGAATTATTGTCCTCTTGACCAATTCCTTATCGTGAGTACTCCTCTATAGTAACAATTTTGTGGGGAGTTTGGAAGCTGAATCTGAATGTGCTTCGACTTCACCATCAGTTGGTTTTCGCAGGTTTGCTTCCGATTTGCTTCGTAGTGATCTGTATATGGATCATTCTCTTCGAACTACCCAAACGACTGGAGAGGGCCGACGTCCACTTCATCCGAGCTTGCTCATTCTTATTCATCCGTTTTCGAAGCTTGGCAACATAGTCGGCAAAGATTCTAAAGGTACAGAGTTTGCAGCTTTGCCCCTCTGTCAATCACTCTATTGTGAGCAGCAACCAGCAACACATAGCAACCACTCCTTTGATGTTTCGTTCCGTTTGACGAAAGCAACCATGTGGGTCGCAGAACATGTCGTTGATCCAGGACCAGGAGCAGAGGTCTTCTCGGTGATTTTTCTGGTGCGCAATGCCTTGGTCGTACTATGCCCCTTGTTGCCTTCTGCTGCAGCGAAGGCCCTGAATTTTGTCTCTACTTTGGACCAAGATTTCTGAGGTTGAGATGCACTTGTTTCTAGTAGCTTCTTGTTACTACTAGTAAGGCACTT